TGATTAATTATAATTATGAATTAATTAACTGATTTATTTTTATTTAAAGAGTCATAAAAAGTTATTGTATTGACAATCCTTAAATATATTTGGGAAACACAATCGCTGGGATTCGTAACGTCTCTGCGACATGGGAACTGTAAGTGTTAATTAAGCCGTTTGATTTTATTTATATGCATGTCATATATTAAAATGAAATGGATTGATGAGTGAAGTTTACAAGAGAACAACATAAAACCTATACATATATTCCTTTGAAGTTAAGTTTATTTTTTATTTATTATTTATTTATTTCGAAATACTGCGACCTTGATGAAGTCATCGCAGAAGTTGAAAGGAAGCATACATATACATAAAAACTATAATTAAAGATGTACACACCCTACAGAACGAAACTTAAAAAAGCCGTGACAAATGCAATATAGTTAAAAAAAAGAGTACAAAAACAATCACATATACTTCAATAGTAGACTCACAAGCACCATACTAGAACACCTACAGTATTTCTAATACAAATCTATCAAAATCGAGATACCGAACTGATTCATTTATGTTGTTCCAGTTTTGTATCGTTCGAGGAAAGAAACATATTTAAAACAATTAAGGTGGGCTTTGTACGGTACAAGATTTAAAAGATGGAAGGTTCGCATGCGTGAGTGAGTAAAAAAAACATATTTTTTCCGATTAAGTGCACAGTTATTAATCACTAGTTTGTGTAGGAGCTTAAGTCGTTCTACAGCGCGTCTGTAATCAAGAGGCGTAAGTCCTATGTCAGTCATAGAAGATGCAGGAGAAAAATTGCAGTCATGTCTATTACAAATAAATTTAGCTGCCTTTGCTTGTATTGCGTCAATCCGCTTAAGTTGCCAGCTGCTACATAGTTTTGGTTAGTTAAAGAAATATGTACGTTTTGATTTTTTACATAGAAATGCTTACGTAATTCTAATAAACGTAGTTGATTAAAAAATAAATCAGCGCGTTGCCTTACTTGTCTATTGAAGACAACGTTATTAAGCATTTAACCAACCAAAGCAAGGCAACGTTATGAGATTTACTTGTCCTTTATTCTGTTTACCGGCACACAACGCCAGTAGGAAGCATGCTCCAGTATGAAGGAAATAAGCAGCAAAGACATCATGGCTTTTAGACGCGTACTCTTAAATATTATGAGTACAGTTTGCCGACGAGGGAAGTAAAGCAAAAGGCTTATATATCTCGCACTAACGAAGTTCCAGAGAACACAGATGAATAACGAAGATGATGCCCTTGAGAACCCCACACAAAACTCAAATCTGGCGAATTAACCAGTTAAATATTTGGTCTATGGTTAATACACCAGTAAAATATTTTTACTACTCAAATGCTAATTCGTGTTACGTCCAATATAATTATCAAGGCTTCACAGTGCAACGATTGCTATACTTTGTTTTGCTTGTATGTACTTTTGATTGTATTTTAATTTTCCCAAGGGTGTTTCTGCCTTGCGTTTGTCACTTGTTTATCTTATTCAAACTTAGATTGTTTAATATTTTGACATGTATCCGTCTTTATTGTTATATATGTTACCTTAGGCTTTTCTGATTTGTTTTTAAAAAGCCGGGAAAGTTACACTAATAAAGTCTGTGCATGTGCGTTATACAGTAAAGAAGACATATTATAGGTGGCTAATCGTCACAATAAGTAAACTAATTACCTGAAATGCGGTAATTAACTTTCTTAGTAGTAAAAATAAGCATATGGTTAGAATCCAATCTTGCTCAGCCTCGTCAAAAACTAATAAATACGTAATTTCAGAAAAATTTTGAGCGTGCGGCAAGTGCGGTGTTGTGCTAACGTTACCACTCGTGCGACGCGCGCAAATCTGGTGATGCAAAAACGTGCCCGCGCAGTTTTCTCGTCTGGTGTCATCCGCTTTGCCTCACCACCAGCTTCGCGCCCGTTGCGCAAGAGGTTACTTTAGTACACCACCGCACTTCGTGCACATGCACCAAATCTTTCTTAAGTTTACCTCTTTAGTCGGTTTTGCTGATGCTCGTCAAGTTTATAATTTGAACCATGCTTGTTTTTATTAAATAAAGAAGTTCATCAACAAATCTTAGTAAACTAATAAAATTATCGTGACGATTAGTCCCCACATTATCTCCACCTGGCCGTATAACCTACATCAACACACTGTAAGATTGTAGATTTTACCGATTCGTTAAAACAAATTTTTAAAGCCTAAAAAGCGCCCTCTATAAACAAATAAAAACACTAAAACATTTCGTCGTGTCACTTTTTGTACTCCCTATAAGACGGTCCCATTGGTATTGAAGGTGACCTTCGCTACTTATGATTATTTGAACTCGGGGCTGATTGCTCGCAAGTTCTTTCAAATCAAGTTTGAACAGGGCAATAAACACATTGTCGCATCGGTAGCAGAGTGGCGCGGCTCTTTCTCGACCCCCCTGCCATATTTGGCAAGCCGTTAAGACATAATACAGAAGTCCATTTCACCTACGGCTTTTCAAGGGGAATTGGAAAGCGTCCGTTTCGAGCCTCGACACAAAAGTGGTACCTTTTCTACTCTTTGCGTGACATAAGAATACCGCCCCTGGCAGATCCTTTTTCGCTTGAGCGACGGCAGCGTGCTAGGAATTCACAACGATAGGTCCTCCGGGTAGAAATTTCGACAGGAGTTTATAAGAGTGCAAGAATACTGCTACAGGAACCCGATAATACACAAAGAAAGTAACACGAAATCGCCCCCTCATGCAGGATTATAGCACGCTGGAAACATCAGTGAACATAGTGACGTTGTTTTAAAATTAAAGACACGTATTCGAATCCAGGGTTAGTCTGAACCCCGCGGCAAAGTGACAGGTCGTGACTAGTGCCATGTTCTACACGGGTCCCCTCATTTGACACACCAGAATGCGCTCGGAGATAAGCACTTTTTGCGAAAGCGCGCATGCCTAGTAGTTTGATGCAACGTACCCAACCTGGATCTATTTACCAATCGGGTCCATATAAAAGGACCAGGATACTGCGCTACTGCGGCTACAGTCTCACCTCGATTAGATGAGCTACGATGATCACGGTGAGTACTGTCTTCTTTACCGCATCGATGTTAATAGCACGACATCCTTTGTTGTATTATAAGACCTCTTCTTAGAATCTTACTTTTAAGCCCAACCTTTCAATAATAGCTCTTACATGTCCCTGTTGTGACTGTTTCCCAATAGGTTATTACCTTTCCAGGGATTGCTGGGTCCGAAAAGCCGCACAGAACATATTGCACAACAACATTGGGGTTTGGAAATATCAACATAAGAAGTTATTGGGCGTGGGCGAAGCTCTTAATTCGGCAATATGAAGTAACTGAGTTGCGAAATTTTAGACTTAATGAAAACTAACGCATTTTGTAAAACAATGCGCAACGGACTGTATGCAACAGTCAAAACTTCCGACTGCAGCAATGCACGGCAATGCTTTATAGGATCCTTATTTATCAGCAGTAAATAATGGCCAGTGTACATCAGCCATATTTACTTCAAACGAACTAGCCCCAGTAAACAATATGGAAGGACATACTAACAGTGATTCCCAAACTGTACTACACTGCAATACCTAAAAGGTATACAAGATAGCGTGTGTGTGTAATGAATAAACTGAACGTGTTTGTTAAAACACGGCACCTCGAAACGAGGGTGGAGTTAGCAGACTAGAAATCTCATTTGCGGCTCAACGCTGACTGCAATATGTACATTGTTGTCTTCAAAACCGCCTAAATAAAATCAAGATGGCTTTTTCTTTTTTTTTTTTAAGTGCCCCAGCCGCGTTTCCACCCTGATAAATCTGTCACTACCTCCCTTTAGGTCGCAACCCACAGATTGAGAAACTCTTACATACATATTAAATAACCACCAGATGTCGTGAATGGTGCCGAATTTGTAACAAACTAATCAGAAAATCTAATAAATAAAATCAATATGATTTCTCTAATTACTTTTTGAAATTGGGACATCAAATAACCCTTTGTTTAGGCGCCCAATATTGTTAAATGTGTACTCTATGTCAAGCATTGACTGCTATGCAAGTCTCCAAAATAATAGAAGTAAGTCATCCTTTTTTTTTCCTCAGCGCTGCGTTTAAACAGGCGGTATCGAGGTTTTTGAAATGAGTTAGAAAAACATACAAAATGGTTTCCAAAAAACCATCAAGTCTTAGAACTGCATTTGAAATTGTAGAAGTTATTAAATAACCTACGCAAAAGGTAGTACAAAAAGTGCCGATCCCGTCACATTTTACATAAAATTAACGCTTATTGGGATCAGTGCCTGCCACGAAGCGTGGAATTGTACTTAAGAGCAAGAATTCGTCGTATAAGTAAGTTATAATTACCGCTAGCTTTTATCAAGATTTAATCATGTATAAAATTGTGTTCTGAAAGCTAGAGGTAATGCCAAAGGAATGTTTACTTTTGTTGTAATCTGCAGAATTTATTTTCCTTTGCAGTAGTAGTCTCCTGCTTTTGTATACATGCCGTACTAGGAACTGTTATTAAAAATCAGTGCTGTCTCGCAGATATGACAGATCACAGATGGTTTCCGATAAAGTAAAAAAAAACTCGAGCACAACCAAGCGATTTGGTTTTGGCTGAACTCCATGGCGTAGAAAGAATACCATATTTGACACACAACAAAGGTCTCGTGGTGTCCTGTTAGGCTAGAGCATGGGCATCGGGGCGGTATAGCGCCACCCATAATTGGTGTTAGATGTCTTATATTTTGTCGGGCGTGTGACGTAAAACAATTTATGTTTGAATATAAATTGCGAATAAATGCCCATCTAAAATAAATAAGGTGATATAACTTGAAAATAAATATACGAGGATTAGGAAAGAGCCCCTACTTTTACACAATATCATGATGCTCATATTATCTTGTTTTTGGTCTGCGAGGTCCCACGTGAATTACGCGAAACTAAAAAAAAAAAAAAAAGAGAGAACGACATGAGAAATGTGGGTATTTATGACAAACTGTCTGATATTCCAGTCGCAAGCCTACTTGGTCATCGCCTTGGCTACAAGCGCCTTCGCAAGCTTTGAACATGACGGTTTCGCTATCCGCGGCTTGAGCCTGGGTCATCTATTCGGTTTCAGTCACGGTGCCTTCTACGGACCGGCTTACATTAGCGCCCCTTCGGTCACCACCTATGCGGCTTCTCCGGCCGTGACTGCTGTCCGTACGGTTCCAGTTATCAGGACTTCTGTCGCTCTCCCTGCAACCGAGATCACGAGAGTTGATGAGTATCATGCAGCTCCAGCCGTAAGCGTGGTAGCTACAACTGCAGCGGCCTCCCAGGCTGTGGCGGGAGCCTCAGTGTTCGCCGCTCCTCCTGTCGTGGCATCTGCGCCCGCTGTTACCAAGGTCGCCACCACGTACAACTCTGGAGCATCGTTGGCTGCTGCTCCCGTCCTGGCCACGTCGCCTGCTTTGAGCAATGTTGCCACTACCTTCCACGGCAGAGAAGAGTTTGTTTCTGCTCCGGTTGTGGGCCCGACGCCCGCCGTTACCAAGATTGCCACCACTTTCAACTCTGGAGCAGCGTTGGCTGGTGCTCCCGTTGTGGCCGTGTCGCGTGCTGTGAATAATGCTGCCACTATCTTCCACACCAGAGAAGAGTTTGTTCCTGCTCCAGTTGTGGCCCCGCCGCCCGCCGTTACCAAGATTGTTACCACCTACAACTCTGGAGCAGCATTGGCTGCTGCTCCCGTTTCGGCAGCGTCTCTCTCTGGAAGCAATGTTGCCAAAAACTTCCAGTCTGGATCAGCCCTTATCCCCGGCCCCGTCGTGGCCGCGCCGCCTGCCGTTACCAAGTTTGCAGCCACCTTCAACCCTGGAGCAGCGTTGGCTGCTGCTCCCGTTCTGGCCGCGTCGCCCGCGGTGAGCAGTGTCGCCACTACATTCCGCTCCGGATCGGAGTTTGTTCCTGCTCCCGTTGGGGCCTCGCCGCCCGCCGTTACCAAGGTTGCCACCCCCTTCAACTCCGGAGCAGCGTTAGATGCTGCTGCCGTTCTGGTAGCGTCACCCTCTCTAAGCAATGTTGCCAACACCTTCCAGTCTGGAGCAGCTTTTATCCCTGGCCCCGTTGTGGCCTCGCTGCCCGCCGTTGCCAAAGTTGCTACCACCTTAAACACTGGAGCCGCGTTGGCTGCTGCTCCCGTTCTGGCCGGTTCACCTGCTGTGAGCAGTGTTGCCACTGCCTTTCGCTCCGGATCGGAGTTCGTTCCTGCTCCCGTTGTGGCCGCGTCGTCTGCTGTTACTAAGGTTGCCACCAGCTTTAATTCTGTGCCACTGTTGACCGCGGCTGCTCATGGTGTCTCTGCTTTCCATACGACGTCAGTGGTTTCGCATGGTCCAGCTGTCACCGCCGCCGTGTTCCATGGACCAGCTTTTGGCTACGAGTTTGGAGTGAAAGGAATAGGCTATGGTCTTGGCCACTTCGGTTTTGGACATGGCTTATCCCCCTACGGTCTCAACTACTGGTATGGTCTCGGAAGTCTTGCAGACTACGTATCACTTCTCCGAAAGAAGAAATGTAAGTGACACACTTGGCCGAGTCATTTTATACGTGGTCTGAAAGTGCTTTATGAGCAACGAGAATGTCAGCACACAAAAAAGTGAGCAAAAGTTACTCCAGAATCGGCCCCCAACACCGATGCACTGAAGCTTATAGCTCGCAGAGCGCATTAACAATATAAAAATATTACTTTTGAAGTATGAATTTATAAATCAGTCAATTTTAAGCCTTTGTAAATATTATGAAAAAAAAAAGAACAGCTCAATAGAAAAAGATAACAGTAAGAAAATACACGCTTTCTGACGTCTTGAATTAAGAAAGAATTGATCTGATGCTTGAGCATTTGAAAGCCCCCCAAAACTACTCTTTTAAACACACTACATGGAATTGTAACATTGACAATGCGTTACAGAGCCGTGACGTTTAAACAGCATGAAGTCAAGCTAAGTTGGGAGAAGACAAAAATAAATGAATTCACTTTTATACTTGCATCTAATTCTTAGATATATTCGTTTTCTCTCGCAAAGAGTGATTCCATATGTCAGTTAGAGTCCAACCCTATGTTCTCCATAAGAATCTCTGGTTTCGAGCTATTGTCTATTATCCAATTTTTTCTCCATCCTAAATGGTCCCTCTAGTTATGTCTTTTCGTATTTTGGGGTATGGCAAAGGGTGGTTAATAAAGAAAATGCTTCTGATAATGTCTTTATTGTTTTGCAGAAACTGCAACGTTTTGGAGCCATACGTCTTTGTGTGTGACAGCCAATTGCAAGATTCATCTGGACAAAAGAAAAAAAAAACGCACCTTCAAAGGAAATTTACATGTCACCGCTTTTCTGCTCAAGGATCATTATTCCCTGCGTTGATTCCCACCCGTAGTATACATTTGTTCTAGTGTACTCACGGCAAAAATAAACAAAAGTACCCTTGTTTTATCTTTCTGTTTGTCTTCCTTTTTTGTCCGTGTATTTTCTGCGCGGTTTTCGCTAATATCAGTCGCCAACTCGCCCAAGCTTTTATCTTAACAAACAACAATAAAATCTTTCTCAAAGTGGATAAAGACTCAGGACGAGTAATATTATATCTTTCTATGTTGCGTTCGTTAGTCGCAAAACATATGAAACGCCCTAAAATGGACCGCGTCTATTATTATCCACCACTCTATCAGCGCTGTGGTGAAGCCCTCATGCCAGAGTCATTCGCTTATATTTTTATTAAGAGGCGGAACTAAACGACGCTAGTTCAACATATTACATAAGAACTTAGAAGTGGGTACTTAGGCGGAGTTCCGCCTCTTCCGAAAGAATTTAAATCGAAGTTTGTAAACATATAAAATGTTTTTATAGACATAGAAAACAATATGGCGTCATTTCAGGGTCAGCTTGATTTGTTGGTCCCGAAAGCCTGTCATGGTATCTGTAGAACGGCTTGTTACAGAGGCGAAGTCAGGTAACCGTGACCAAGGGGCCGAGGTAATACTGCGACGCGCGGCTCTGAGCAAGCGCGCCCATGGCCGAATGGTTATCGTACTTGGCTCTCACGCAAGGCGCCGAGGCTCCATGCCTTGGCGCGGGCACACTTTTCTGTTATTTCTTTAAATCTCGCGTTCTGGCGAATTCGAGAACCCTGTTGCTTTTTTGAGGTCCGAATGTTCAGCTCGCCAAAACTTCTACGCCGATTGCTCCAGAAGCCCACGCATGTGCATGAGGAACTCCGCGTGGCGAGTCGGAGTCAGTCTCACTTCAGGGCTCGATTCCTGCGGTTACACCGACCTCGACTTTTGTAACTCTAGTCTTTTTCTATTTTGTTTCAGGCACAAGTTCGTTACATTAAGCGTTCAGTTTCCTTTGTTATCTACCGCCTCATCAACTGTCATTTGTGACATTTTCGTGGAAATGCTGTGTTCAGTATTCTATGCCCGTGGAGCGTACCCCTCCGAAGACACCCCGGTCAAGTGAGATGCTCAGCCTCGGGAGGCTACCGTTCGCAAAAGACGCCGACACCCGAGCAAGCCGCTGTAGCAAAGGCACTCCGCAGAATTCCAACCCCTGCCACTGAAGAAAAAGGAGACCGCAACGATGACTACACCACTCGTCGTCATCTTGACCGTCACTCTCCGCACTCCGACGTACTTTCACGGTGAAGCCTACGAAAATATAGAGGACTGGCTGCAGCATAATGAACGTGTAGCCCGCCACGACGGATGGACTGCTGAGCAGCACCCTCCAGAGCCCTCTACCTCTCGCTTGAAGGCACTGCGAGGTACTGGTACGAAGTTTCTTTACTTCGTGGGACTCATGCGCTGCCGAAATTAAGCGGTCTTAAACAAGCACCACCGTCGGCAGCCAGCGGAAGACCGCGTTCAAACGAGTGTGCAGGGCCCAACGAAAGCAGGGACAAGCTTTGTTGCACAGATGTCCTGCGCCAGAGCCGATCCGGAGGCCGCCGAGGAAGAGAAACTTCGTCGAAACTTAGCGCCCTCATGCGTGGCGTGAAACGTGAACTTTTCGGAGGCCTAGTCGGTAATCCCCCGGCGACAGTCGATGGTTTTGTAAGCGAAGCCATCGATATCGAGCGCCCGCTGACGGGCCTGAGCAAGCCACTACCACCGACTCTCCGGCGCGCCTACTGAGCCAACTGTCGCAGCTTCCCGACTGGACCTGAACACCACCGGTGTTGACAGCCTTCGGGAGACCGTAAAGAATTTCGTCCGGGACGAGCTCCCTAAGATCCTACCGGGTGTAGATCGCACGTCCCATTCTCAGTCGCCGAGGTCCGAGGGAAGGTTCACCGAGCGTTTTAGTCCTAGGCTTCCGTCGCTTCCCTTGCATCGGGGCGATGCGCTTTTAAAAGGGGGGGGGGGGGGGGGGGGGGGTAATGCCAGGCGCGACTCCGAGCAAGAGCACCCGCGGCCGAAGGCCGAATGGTTATCGTTCTTGGCTCCCACGGAGAGGGTCGACGTTCGAGGCCCTTTTTATATGGCGTTCTGGCAACTTTCAAAAACCCTGTCGCTTGTTCGGGATCCGAATGTTCTACTTGCCGAGCCTTCTACGGCGACTGTTCCAGAAGCCCACGCGTGTACATAAGGGATTCCGCGTGGCGCGCCGGAGTCAGTCTGGCTTCAACGCTAGTCCGCTGCGGTTACGCCGCGTTCAACGCTTGCGATGCTAGCCTTTTTCTATTTTGGTTTGGGCCACTATAAACTTTCAGTTATATATAAACTATAAACACTATAAACTTTCAGCTATCTTAGTTATTTACCGCCTTATCGACTTGTCATTGGTGAAAATACCACAAAGTTGTTAAAGCTACATCAATTCAAATTTATATTGTCCAAAGAAAACAAGAAGGAAAGATAAATTTGGATCAACACAAGCAATATACAATAATGTAGCCTAAAATTCACAGCTCCGGAATGACAGTTGTTTCGTGGCACAATTCGGTCATGCCTCGTTAATGTGAACCCCGCTAATGTGGTTACACCGCTATATAAACAATATTTTTCTGGGACAATCTGCGTAATTTATGCCTTTTCGTTTCCTTATACGAACGGCTTAAAGTATGCGTGATTTTCTGGGGGAACGGAGGTACCCATGTGAACTAGACTTGACATCACCCTGCCGGAAACTTGGTATAGAAATCCGTAGTTGAGATAAAATTGCCATTAAATCAAAACTCAAGACTCCATAAAAAATAATATATATATATATATATATATATATATATATATATATATATATATATATATATATATATATATATATAACCGCCGTTTTATCTAAGAATACAGGTTACTCGTTGAAGCCAATAAAAAATAGCAGCAGTGTGAACCAAGCAAGACAAAAAAAACGTAAAAAAAAAGTACAAAACTAGAGAAAAAGGAACAAAAATATTTGGCGCATTTTGATTTTTTTTTGTCTTCTCTGGGACTTTTTAACTTTTTTGAAGACACATTTATTGATAAGGAAATGAAAGATCCCACCACCACCAACTTGGAGCGACTCACTAATAGCGTGCCGGTTAGCGGTTCTCGGAACGTATCTGCATTTTAAATTGTCAGGTAGAAGTATTAAGGAAGAAATACAAAACAAAATTTCGCAGTATTTTTTATTGATGCAAATAGCTCTCATTTTATAGCGGGTAAGTCCGTTTAAATTAATTCCACACATTTTCAGATGACCACAAATTTAACTTTTAAAATTTCTTGGGTCTTTTCAAAGAGCGTCAGAAGGTATCGAACGAATTTTGTTAGCATTTATAAGCGTCGATACGTTGCCGGTCAAGTGTTAACGGGATATATATATATATATATATATATATATATATATATATATATATATATATATATATATATATATATATAATGGATCTTCAATTTCTTGGCATCAGCCTGGATATGCAATAGTCATATCATTTCTGGCATTGGCACGAAATATTGAAATTTTTATTCTTAGGCGTGAGGGTGTTTTGCTTTCAGTTACGCCTTCTAAATAACCCTAAACAAATTAAGTTAGCAGGCACATTTACTTATACGGCATCGATATATTAATATAGTGGACGGTGAATACCTCGAGAAGGAACTTAGTTTTGCTGCACGCTCCGAATGCTAAGAACATAATTTGTTTGTTTTTTTTGCCTGCTGGAAAACGCCATGTCAATATCATTCTAACCCTGGCATAAATAATGAAGCTCACAAAACAGGTTTTTCTAGCTCTCGGTAGTTTACGTACTTAGGATTACTTCTATATCCTCCTTTCAAACCAATGGTGAAAAACTCAAACCCTTTTTTATCGTGGTCGGAAGAGTCTGGCCGTCTTCTGCAACCAGACTGTTTTAAGATATTCACCCAAATAATTTGAGCGATAATCAGTTATTTATGTTTCACCGTCATTTTGCAAAGAGTGAATGCTACGCCCCCTGAGGCCAATCAGAGCTACGATGATGAAGCGCTTGACAGCAATTACCAAAGTTGTCAGAGACGAGATGGTAACCCATGAGATTGGAAAAGAGGGGAAGGATGAATTACCTAGGCTCTCTTTTGAGTCTCCCATGGCGTTGCTTTCGTACCCCTCGGAGATTAGCATGTCAATCAAACTTTGAGCAAAGGAGGCTTTCCTTTTTCTCATGTCGGTGGCTTCGACAGCACTGCGTACAACTCGCCAGAGTCACGTGTCTCCCTCTGACGTGCTGATTGGCTCACTGAGACCGTAGCCTTCGCCGTTTGCCACGCTCCGGTGAATCAGAGTTTAGTTTATTCAGTTTAATTGAATTTTCTAAAAGAGCTACATCCCTCGTCGCGAATGCTTTCAAATTAAAATTAAAAGCCGAAAAAAAGTATTTCAAATTTTCTTTGAGCACGTCGACGTGATGAACCAGATACCACGCTTGCTCAGGAATCGCATTCCTAACAGCGCAGTCACCGTCGTGATAGGAGCTGAGGAAAAAATAATAATGGCATGGCAGGACTCTTTCAGATGACGGTAGGGATTACGGTGTATCTTGTTGGCGCTCTGCCCTGTGTCTGGATTAGCATGGGAAACCGCTTAGTTTCTTTATAGAGCTTGGAGTTGTTTAAACGGTCTTGCCTTTCTCGCGGAATTGCGAGATCTGCATGTTTACTACCGTTGTGCGATCGCACCTTTATCGTAATAAAATAAAACAAAAATGCCAAAGGGTTTTTAGTTTGCTGGCGTTTCCTTTTATATATAATGTAACATGGGTCATGATATCACAATGATGCTGATCCTTTTCATACCTTGTTTTATTTAGCCAACAGAAAAAAATGTTTATGCACTACTTTTGAAATAACGTTGGTGGTATAAAAACCAAAATTGAATTGCGTTCGATTGAGAACTGTTAGGTGCACCCTTTGGGTCATACTTTTACTTTCTTAAGGCCAGTAGAGATGGGCTGCTTAAGCTGTTAACACAGCACATTATGATTATGGCATATAATGCATGACTTGATATTCAGCGGCTTAATATACAGTAAGATGCTTTTTTGCGTAAGAGAGTGATACAATCAAGCGCACGAAGGTAACGTGTGTTAAGGATCTGGATGGAAACGGCAGGTATGCCCATAACATAAGCCTCTCTTGCTCAAAAAGTTAAAAACGTAAAAAATAAAACAATATAATTTATTATGAAAGCACCTTTTTTAAGGTGTGAGTCTAAATTTGTGTTATATAAAGCTTTATTTCTTGTTTGACCCACTGTAGGATAATGCAATAGATTAGCATCATGATGAATATAATTCAGCTTAGTTAAAACAAACTTCCGAATAAGTCACGCTTGTAAGTACTGGGAAGGGCTGGACTACTCTCAGTCACTCAATACAAGATTTAAAACACTGCCGAATTTACTAATTATTGAATGACCTATAACAAACAGTTCCAGCGCGCCTATCATAGTCATCGCAATCCAATCTTTTAAGAGAGACAATAAAACTTGTAAGAAACATACTAATTTTTCTTTTAATCTATATTCGCTTCTAGTTCTTGACCCGACTCGAGTCTTTGCATGGTACATTAAACGCTTTGCATACGCTGAACTGCGTAATGTAGACAAATTCAGCATTACGAAGCCATAAAGACGGCTTCAGCTCATAACCGGAATTGTTGGTGCGCTCTGATGCTGCACCGCCATAATTATACCGCGTCTTTCTGGACGTAAACAACACGAGAGGTGAAGCGAGGAGAGTTGGTGACGACCCTGGATGGACCAGTTTGCCGTAAACCGATAGTAATCCTCACTTGGTAGCTCCTCTCCTAGTTCACATAAACTGGCGATGCATACGTTTGGCAGCCCCCGCCAAGGTTAGGGCGGTACCTCATTGATCCCCCGTACGCGTAGAGGCGTCTGCGCGCCTTATCGAAAATTCGGAGAGATTTAAAACTGTTTTATAGGGCCAAAGATGCTCTCTCCACCGAAGACAGCTGAGTATATAAGGGACCGTAAGGCAAACACGAGCCAGCAGTCAGACCTTTTTCCCACCTGGCTATCTTCACCATGATTGGAGTAAGTCTTACGTCATTTGGAATGCTCTAATGTTTGCGGCTGAGATTATTTTGCACAACTTTGCCTTTCTAGCCCTCTTCGTGGGAACTCTAGCTAACCTATTTATGTAAAAAAAGTGAATACAAACAGTTATTTACTAATTTTGACCCCAAATACTTCCCAGAAAGATTCTCCAATGCTTAACTCAACACAGTTATTCCGAGAAAGCGTGAATTCATAGCTTAAACGGGAACCTGGAGGCGTTGAAGCGGTGGAATTGTTATTTTAAAGGTACAGCACTTTATGAGACTCGGCGTTCGAAATTCCCTCGTACTTCATTGACGTATCATTGATTGGCTCTTAAGAATGCCGTACAGAGTTTACTTCAACGAGTTTTATGCTTGTTAAGATGTGTTGTTTGGTGGTTCTGCGGATGTAAATTTTTACACGGGCATATTTTTATGGCAATGCAAACAATATCTTTGTTTTAATATACGTCGATTTAAATATATCATCATATAATACGTTTTATATGAGCAACGTTGCTCACTTGGAACACGAATGATTTCAATACTTAAGTAAAACTCAGCCTGAATTAAGTTAGTTTTCAAACAAGTACTGCATAACAGCAACGGATTGAAAACGTATAGGATGACGCGAATAAATGAAATATCAGGTGAAACGATCAGGAAAGACTGGCGCCTGCTCGCAGTCAGTTCCAATTTTAATCGAAGGTGAATTTTAGTGACTGGCTTTTCCTTCTAAAACTTTTAGACGAGGCTTAAATTCATAAAAAAAAGACTAAGTTACATATGCTGACACAGAAAGCCGTGCTGAACCGGGAGTGAGACGAAACTTAGGAATATTCAAGAGTCGGACCAAGGTGTGAATTTGACCAGGTTTTACTTCATTGTACTTTTATTACAGAGTTCGATATTAGAACTGCTAAAGGTCTACAAATATCCGCTCGCGTGGAAAAAAAAGAAGCTTAGGCCACCTGGCGATGGAGGGTGACAAACTAAATCACTGAAGCGTTGTATATTTACTTAATTTCGCGTTGTCATTGGTAATCACTTCCCATATCTTCCAAATAACCTAGGGCATGCATTTTCTTTTCAAATTTGAGATGTTCGTGACAAGTCAGAAATCATCTTCGGAGAGTCGAACTTCATTGAATTCTGCCGAAAGTTCGAAGGTTCGGCGAACCAGGCAAACCTGAAGCTTGACAACAGTTAGCGACACTCTAATTATGCTTGTTCCGAGAAGTTATGCCACACTCTGTGTTTGAAAGATGTCAAAAATTGGGCGGATTCTATATTGATGATAACTTTCGTGCAACCTAACTTCCAACTGAAATGAAACATGCAGAGTTAGACTAACTCAAAAAGTAGAAATAAACAAAAAGAAAGGTAGATGAATGTGGCAATACACAGTTCACGACGACGCATTGACAGCCTATGTCGTCTCATTTCTGCAAGAATTTACACCTAACACAACCAAACGTCCGGAGCACCCACTCAGGCCTTACACGTACGTCTACGTCAGCACCCAGCATTCAAATATTCGAAAACGTTGTCCTCATTGTTTGAAGGAAGTGAGCTGCACCTAATTATTTTACCCAATAACATCAGCCATTAAAATACGCATATGATGATATTCCAGCCTTCCTTGTGCTAGTACCGACTTTCTCGCCTCGTTCTACCAAGTCGCAGCATTGATACCACTTGAACATGCAAAATGCCTTAGAAATGCTAAGAAAAGTGACTAATAGCAGAATTTAAATTGAGTAAGTATTCACAATTTGATGACATGTCGATTTTTTTTTTCCTTTTTGAAGTTCCGTGCCTGTCTTCTCTTGGCTCTGGCCACACGTGCCTTCGGCGCCGGCCTCACCCACGGTGCGGTCGTCCACGGTGGTCTGGGTCACGCCAGCCTCGGCTACGGTTATGGCCTTGGATATGGCCATGGCCTTGGATATGGCCATGGCCTTGGATATGGCCATGCTGTCGGGCTTGGCTATGGCATCGGCTACTCCGGTTTGACAGGTTACTCTCTCGCTGCCCCAGCCAGATACGCTGTTGCTGCTCCAGCTGTGAGCCGCACGGTGTCCACGTCCTATCATGCCACTCCAGCGGTTGCCACCTATGCAGCTGCTCCAGTCGCGTACGCCGCAGCCCCAGCTGTGAGTAGGGTGTCTACCATTCACCATGCTCCAGCTGTCGCCACCTACGCTGCTCCAGCGGTGAGCTATGCTGCTGCTCCAATCGCCACCTACGCAGCTGCTCCAGCTGTGACCAGGGTGTCCACCGTCCACCACGCTCCAGCTGTTGCAGCTTATGCAGCACCGGTTGCCACCTACGCCACCGCCCCAGCAGTAGCCAGAGTGTCTACCGTGCACCATGCACCAGCTGTCGCCACCTACACTGCACCAGCGGTGAGCTATGCTGCTGCTCCAATCGCCACCTATGCAGCCGCTCCAGCTGTGACCAGGGTGTCCACCGTCCACCACGCTCCAGCTGTCGCAGCTTACGCAGCACCGGTTACCACCTACGCCGCCGCCCCAGCAGTAGCCAGAGTGTCTACCGTGCACCATGCACCGGCTGTCGCGACCATTGCCGCTGCTCCAGTTGCCGCTTACGCTGCTGCTCCAGTTGTGGCAGGAGTGTCCACCGTCCACCATGCTCCAGCTGTGGCCACCTACCATGCTGCCCCAGCCTACGCTGTCGCCCACGCTGCTCCCGTCTATGGTTATGGCGTTGGCAGCCTCGGCTACGGTGTCGGCCATTACGGTTATGGACACGGTCTTGCGAGTTACGGTTTGAACTACGGCTATGGACTCGGGACCTACGGCGACTACGCTACCCTTCTCCGCAAGAAGAAGTGTAAGTACCGTCTTGATGGTTCAGACGGCCAAAAAGCTTTTATAGAGTCCTGCATCTGTTTCTCTGTTGAGCGTTGTGTCTTATTTGATATTTCGTATTTTTTATTGCAGAAACTGGATCCAGAGAGGGACTGTACTTCACTTTCACATCCAACAACTTCCTCAATTTGGGACTTGCATACTGCCAACCATTTTGTCTTCGAAAAGTGAATACAATTAAAAAAAAATATCTACTGTGTTTCTGCGAAGAAATTGTCTTGTATTTATTTTAGTCAGGAGGAAGTTAAGACTGTTCATTATTACGCTTATAATGCAGCTAATGCAAAGGTGCAAGCGAGCTGGACAAGAATGACAATAATAATTACTGGAGAAGGGGAACCGCTTTGTTCCCTTTGTTCCCCTTCTCCAGGGATTTTTATTGTCATTTTTACCTTTACTACGCGCCTATATAAACCCACTTGACTTTTTTTTTTTCGGGGAATTTGTGAAAAATCCATTACTTTCATCTATATCATGGGAACAGTAAAGGACGGGGCTCGTATACTTTCGAACAGTACAATGATCTGCTATGATGCACTGAATGTGGAAGACTGTATATTGTTTAGTGGGCTAATTTAAAGCGAGTAGAAAAGACAAAACTTCGTGCCAAGGCGCGATGCGAAAACAAAAGAAAGGAAATTAATAGCTTTTTTTCTTATTCTCTTTTCTCAGCCCCGGACGCGATGTATTTAAGTCTTCTACAAATGGATTCGTTTGGAAACATACCGAAAACTAAAAGGCGTGCTCATTAGTTTTGTATCACCTGATTAGTGAAGGTGTACAGAAGCCTCCTTGTAGTTACTTTGTGTATCATAAAGATCTTGGAGGGCGCAAACGAAAATGATCAAACTTGAGATATGCAGTTCTTGCACCTTTAGTCGCAAGCGTTTTTGTTTTTCAGGAATTGTCTTCAAAGTTCAAATCATTAAGCTAGGCTATATTTCCTGACATCTTTCCATAATAAAGCTTGGTGCTGATAGTCAATAATTGCCCAAAACTGAAATTATGGGTGTAAAAAGTCAAATTCAATCAAGAAAGTAATGACAAGCACTAAAGTGAACGCGAGGATATGAAATAGGATGTACGCGAAAATAAGAATATATTGAAGCATTTAACCTGTATTAAAACGTAAAACAGTGGAAAAGAAATTAAGGACAGAAGGATTACCTGTAGATGCACAAGGCATTGGCAGTCAATCGAATGTCTATTTTTGAAAGGAATGAGAAAATAAAGAAAGAGAAGGGGACCAAATGTATGAAAACATGCATAATTCATCATACCCCCATCAAGCATAAACAAAAACGCCACACATGCTTATGAAATAAGCCTCGTCACCTAAAATGTTCAAAGATCCGTCGCTGGCACACATGTCTCTGACGTGTGTATCAATAAATACGTCCGCGTACTTTTCGGCAATAAACATTCAGTTGACAGTCAGTGCCTTGTGTGAGTACATTTCTTCGTCTTTTAGCGCTGTTTTACTATTTTAATATTATGCACCAACTAGCCCAAGTGAATGCTTTGCCTCGACATACTGTGCTATTCTCTGTTTTGGGATGAAACGTGGATATTTATTCTGGACGGCAATGTTGAAGGGCTCCAGAGATTGATTTTCTTCTTCACTTTTAAACCTGAACGAAGTCCTCGGGGTGGCAAAAGTGAGTATGCAAAAAACTAACTATGGGTTCTTCAATTTAGCATTAGTAGGTTTCCGTTTTTACGAATTCACTCATGTAGTCGTGTCATAACAATTTGTGTTTAAAGCGATTCAAGTGAGAAATGTGCTTCTCAGCAAAATAAATACTATTGCCAGTAATTATATTTTAAAGGACGTGGCACCTCAATTAGCACTCAGGAGAGTTAGCGCAATACATAGCAACTTGGCTTTGGGAACATGAGCGGTGTACGATATTTCTAAGACAAGAGGTATTGCGCATGCTCACAGTGCAATCCACGGCCCAGTAAACGAAGGTGGCAGCTAGAATAGGAATATTGGTATCTACTTCGTTTCAACGTTCACCCTAAGTCGGAGCGATCTCAAAGGCCACGCGCCCGGACTAAAAAGCACGACGTCAGGACGCATTCCCAGCGCTTGATTGGTTTCGCCGAGGATAGCATCGGCGAAACCGGAAGTTCAGTGAAAAGTCATGTAGTGACTACCGAAACATTCCGAGAGATAGCCCACCTAAAATCGAAAGCAAAATAGGGTGAAAATGACAAATAAACCGACTTTTAGTGTGCCATAATAAAAAAAGTAAAACAAAGTATAGTTTTAGATCTTGTGACCTGCTAAACTTGTGATCGCAGGGAGGGGCGATAAACGAAATACGACTGTCCTTCCCAGTCAGCAATGTTCGCTTATATCCCTCCGTGGTTAACGCTTTTGCCAAGGGCACGATTGGTCATGGCTTTGCGATTTGAGAAGTAAGCTGTCTCGATGTTTCTGCACAAAATTGCCAATCATGCCAAAAATAGGGGTGGGTTATCTTTCGGGGGGGGGGGGGGGGCACATCCCTCGAGATAATACGGTATGACCTTGGTACAATGCGCTATAGGCAGCCGGCAACGGCCAGGCGGCGCCAGCAACGGCCAGGCGGCGCCAGCAGGGTGACAGCGCACGGTTACATCCTATCTCGTTGTAACTTGGCAAACGACGAACGATAAGCCCCACATTGCGTGCCGAAGGCTTCGAAATGCGAGACGTATACGAGCGCAACACACACATATTGGAGCATGACGCAGCGAAAAGCCCGATACTTCTTCGGAGTTGAGGCGCGCTCCGGTGATACGCGGTCACGTTCTGATTGGCCCGCCAGGGCCGTAGCTTCCATTGTACTGGCACGTTACGCGATCACGGCTTCCTGGGATACCTAGTATTTCTTGCTTCAGACACTGGGCTCAGCGGCGCCACCAGAGTAATAGCTCACGTTTGAACAATGCAGGCGCCACTTTCAGGGGTACCCAATATTTCTTGCTTCAGTCACTAGATGGCGCCAAACCAAACAGCATTGCAGGTTGCCTATCCACATAAAAATTTGATTTTACTGCAAACCAGGAACCTTCTGTGATACTTCGTAAAACTAGAAAACACTTTAAATGCGATGGCGTTTTCTCCCTTTCGCTACAGGGACACACAAGCAAAGTGGTGTCGTTCTGCTAGATAGGTGTTAATTTATTCAGTGAAATATGGCCTGACTACCGCAAAACAGCCTGTTTTATTGAAGTCACTATTCAAATCCTTTCTATTTAGAGTTTTAGTAGTTTCGCAATGTTAACGTTTGCCAGCCGCAGTTTGTTCCATTGGGCCGGCATCCCTCGCTTTGGGGTTCTAATCGGCTATGCACCCAAGCGCTCTGTTAGTGTGATAAGTCTTCTTTTATGTATCGATTGTAAAAGTCTGAAGTAGTTTACTTAGTCTGCCTTAAGCATATTATGTTTTATGAAGAGTGGCTGTGTGGGTCTTTTTGCATAGGAGAAAAGGTGGGCATTTTTGCATAGAAGACAATACAAATCCAGGAGTTGTGAGTCAGCGCCGAGTGAGTGTCTATTTTTTTGGTGTGTCTGAGTTTGCGAGTGTTTCTCTAGTTGTGCGCTGTTACGTTATTCGAAGTGGTTGTGTCCTTAAAGGTTTTGTATCACCTTTATCATTATCACACATCCGTAAGGTTTTCTTCAGCAAAACGATAACTTTATTACGCTTCGCTGCTGTCGTCGCCACCATGACCAAACTACGATAGCTAATTTTTGAGTTATATACGATATAATATGATATTTGTTTTAACCAGGTACGTATCAAATATTGTACTTTATAAATGATCTCTGTTACCTGGGATAAATCCGCCTTTAGGCTTTTTACATGAACACTCGATGAAACGTCTTGGGCACACCATCACCCAAACCTTTTTTTTCTGCCACTTGCTTTATCAATGGGCACTCGAATGTTATTTTTATAAGAAAGTGGTCTTGTTTATTTTGTTTAAAAGCTCTATACTTATTTTCAATGAACTGCATGTAAGTGAGCAAGCGACGTACCTGTTGCACATGGAACATGAGAAAAGCTCGGAGACTGAAGGTAAACGAACGACTCAAACTCAGCTGTGATTTTTATTTTACAAAAAGGTGCTTAAATAGTCAACGTGACGAAAAGAAAAAAAAAACAGGAAAAAACACTCTCTTTCTCTCTTTCCACAACTAATACACCAAACGTAGTGACACATCTAAGACACAAAAGAACGCCGTGACATCCACCTCCTTTCGTATGACCGAACTGGTGACTTCCTTTCTTCAGAATGCTATAACTATAGGGGATACAACGACTACGTTGCTGTTGCTATGCTCTGATGATCTTACAACCCTTTCATGTAAAATGCCGAGGGTGTTTTCGTTGGGCATAAGGAATTTATACTAATAACTTGAACCCAAGGCCCCACTAGCTAATGTTAGCGGTATTTTGGAAGAAAATTAGATCAGTTTCAAGTCTCAGTTGGATATTTTGGTTCCAGATTTTCTTAGAATTCTATATGTGTACCTAAGCTCAACAGAGGTGCAGTAGGACAACACGAATTTTATTCAATAACAAGGCGTGTGTATAGGATCAGCAGTAGCCCCGGCTCTTTCTGAATATTATCTAAGCTGTCTGGATTTACAGCTCTTCGAGGCCGTTGGAGGTAGGCTCCCTACCAAAGTAGTGTTGAAAAGGCACGTAAACAACATATTGGTGTGTTATACAGACGCGTTTCTAGTGGAATCTCTAGAGAAATGAACGTTTGATATAGCGCCTGAATTAAGGTTCTCCTTAGAAAGGCCTTAGGACGGCTACATACGAAAATTGGGGGAAGCCTTATCATTTAAACCCGCGCTCGTTCCCAAGGCGTGCAAGCGCGTGTGCGTGGTCGGTAGCGTCACGTGTCACGTGACGTCACACGTGAGCACTGTGGGCTCGAAATTCCCACGCGAGGTCATGTGGAGTGACGTTACGCGCGTGACGTCACGTGTGACGTCCCACGTAGCTGTGACGTCATAATGTTTTGAACCCTCTAAACTTGGCAGAAAAGATTCCAGCCAAATTCAGCAGACAATTTTCCTGCCAAATTTAGCGGAAAATATTACCGCCAAATTTAGCAGGAACATTTCCCGCTAACATAAGCGGAAAATGTTCCCGCCAAATTTAG